GTGATGGCGACAACACACAGGGATCCTACTACGTCCTTCTTCCCGACGGTCGTCTGCAGAAGGTGACCTACAATGTGAACGGAGACTCCGGTTACGTGGCTGATGTGACCTACGAGGGAGAGGCTCAGTACCCCACCCCAAAGGCCTCCTATGGTCCTCCTCAGCCATCCTACAAGCCGCCCACCCCTCCTATGCTTAAGGAACAGAAATGAAATATTTATTGATCTCGGGTCTTTGTAAATACTAGATATTAAACAAGCATCTTCATCTATAATATTTTAATATCCAATATATGTTTTCAATATTTTAGGAAACTGCAACGTATTTCTTCTTTGCTTAATTACGTTGAAAAATGTAATCATTGAGGAAAATGTACCTTTGACAATTGGCTGAAACAGTCTAAATGTTTTTGTTATGGAAAAGGAACGTTTGTTTCAAGCGATTTTTTTCCTTCTTGATCTTGTGCTATAGAAGACTTATACTAGACTGCTTATATTGAGGAAAAATGAACTTCAGCATAATCCTATTCATTTATTACATAGCTTTATATATTATCCTACATACCGACCAATCCCTTCCATGTATGAAATGTAGGGCTTCGGATATTTATTGATCTCAGGTCTTTGCAAATCTGAAGTAGCAAATTAGCATACTTCATTTTATGAAGATATATATATATGTATGTATGTATGTATATGTACATATACATATATATATATATATATATATATATATATATATATATATATATATATATATATATATATATATATATATATATATATATATATATATAATATATAAACGAGTGCGTGCGTTTGTATAAAGACACACGTATGTGTGTAAAGTCCTCGAAACATACTGGAAATGAAGGTGCTACATGTGTTCCATTGTGTCAGTGGCGACTGGATAGAATACAGTCTTGATTTATATATATATATATATATATATATATATATATATATATATATATATATATATATATATATACTATATATATATATATATAGAAAGATGCGTGTTTTAAGCGACAGTCTTTGTTTTTATTAAATATCTTTGATTTTGTGCTGCGGATTATCTATACTAAGATTGTTTCTATAAAAAAGAATTTTATTATAATCATGTGGGACGTTTCTTTTTACGGTGTGATAATCTTATTACATAGTTGGGTGTATTAGGAATAAGAAATATAATATGTATGAGGTGTGCGGTCTTTTTAAGAGATAGATAATCAGCGTGAAGCATCACTCGTGCTTGTGGAATGCACTTGATTCCCTGGATGGCGGCAGGTTTGTTTACATGCAAGCAGCGGTTCTCTGGCAGTCTGAGAGGGTCAGGTCATTTGCATACGAAGTTCATGCGGATAAAATGGGCTGTGATGTGGCCTTTCTAGTTTGGGTTTTGTGGCTAAAGTGGAATGGTGTTCACGAGACATACCAAAATGTTCATTAGAAGAGCATGATTAACTTATTACAAAGTGGGAGTTAGTTTCCTTCTTTATCATCTTAATCAGAAACGATATAGCAAAGGCATCTTGGCAACGAGACATCATGAGCCAAAGAGCTCATTGTGCTACAGGTTTCTGTTCCCTCAATGTCTGCATGCAGGTAATGCATGCAAGCATGCTAGGAATTCCGATGTCAGGAATTAATTCTGAAAGAGAATTTTCGCTGGATCTTTCCGTAATATATACATATAATATTTACATACATACATACATTACACGTACACACATACACACACACACACACACATATATATATATATATATATATATATATATATGCATATACATAATACATAGACACACGCGCGCACGCACACATGCACATACATATACATGTGAACTAATGTATACATACATATGTATGACTATATCTGTATATGCATAATTATATTTATACATACATAGACACTCACATCGACACAAACACATACACATATATATGCACCTATATATTCACACACACATGTATATATTTATATACATGCAAATATATATGTATACACACACCCTTATATAGAAACTATATGATTCAATTTTCTATATCATTGCAACACAGATTTTCACAACTTGATACGGATGCCATAATATCATTCTTTATCAGTTACTGAAAAAATGGCTAAAACTCGTGAATATTTGAAAAATAACTTTCACACAGACCTGCATAAATAATGTGAACATCTGCATTCCGGTAACATCACCGAAGGGGAAACTCGCTCACCGAATCAAGGTCATCTTGCTGGGATGATATTTCCTGACGTCACGACCTGGGCGGGGTTTTTCTCGGACACTTGTATAAAGGAAAGGGCTCTGTGTGTCTTCGTCAGTCTCAGTCTCCGCAGTCTCTAACACAATGGCATTCAAGGCAAGTAAATCTGTCATTCCAAAAGTGCAGTTGGTTAAGGTTTTCTGTTGTCCACCCATAAAACATTGATCTTATAAATATTTCTAACAATTCAAATGTACTGCAGGTATTAGCACTGGCCACCCTAGTGGTAGCCACCGTCGCCCGTCCTGATAGCCCTCCTACCTATGGCTACTCTGCTCCCACACCCTCTTATGCACCACCCGCCAAGTACGACTTCAACTACGCCGTCAACGACCCACCATCTGGCAACGACTTCGGACACCAGGAAGCCCGTGATGGCGACAACACACAGGGATCCTACTACGTCCTTCTTCCCGACGGTCGTCTGCAGAAGGTGACCTACAATGTGAACGGAGACTCCGGTTACGTGGCTGATGTGACCTACGAGGGAGAGGCTCAGTACCCCACCCCAAAGGCCTCCTATGGTCCTCCTCAGCCATCCTACAAGCCACCAACTCCATCCTATGCTTAAGACATAGCGCCTCGGATATTTATTGAACTCGGGTCTTTGTAGATATTATATATTAAACCTGCATACTTAATCTTACGTAGTTTAATGTCATCTGCGTGAATCATGCCTTTCTTCATCTCAGTGATGATATAATCCCTTTTCATTATGTACTATATGTGCACAACCCTACAAGTACATAAAGACATTGTGGATCTGAATATTATGTTTGGTCATTTAGCTTATTATTATTAATTTATCTAGTTTATCATCGATGATACACACTCTCACACACATATATGTATGTATGTATGAGTATGAAGTTTTAGAAATATGATGCTACAGGTGATTTGATGAAGGCTTAATTTTTGTTTAATAGCTGCAACTTCCTAAACTAATTCCAAGCATTCACTTTTTGTACTTCCATTTTACAGATGGCAGACACTCTCATATGTATCTACATACAGTCAGATATAAAGAAACCTGTCTTAAATTCATGTTCAGAATTATGCATATGTGCATTATGAAGTCGGTATTGTAAATGCACCAAGTTATGGGATCACCTATAATTAAATGTTATTCATGTGTCATATATATATATATATATATATATATATATATATATATATATATATATATATATATATATATATATAGCGAGAGAGAGAGAGAATTCACATATAGATGTGCAACGTATGTAATCATACAGATGCATATATGTATTTATGATTGCAGATGGAGTCTTATGTTTCGAATTCCAACTGTAGGAGGTTTTATCTTAACTATTTACAAAGCCTGAGCCGCACTCTTTGCGACAAATGTAGAAAAGGTATGACTGAGAATGTATATCCTCACAATATAAGAGATGCATGTAACTGTTTCGAATATATCTTCGTGAGAAATACATAACGTTACTGCACAGTGCAAATGATGTATTTAACCGTTTCCAGTATATCTTCATCGGAAATGTATGTATTTCTGATGAAATTAATTGAAATTTTTTTTGTTTGTGAAGATATTCATTCTCAATCATACCTTTATCTTATCTGTAAAGTTTGGACAACACTCACTGCGGAACGTAAACTATAGATTTTTTTTTTTTTTTTTTTTTTTTTTAGAATCATGCTGCTATATTAGCTACGAACAATGATGTATCTTGAGCACGGGTTTAACTCGACATTCGGTTCCTTGGAAATAACTGGCGAAATTAACATATTTATTTAATGATTTAAGTAGACAAAACAATATAAAAAAAAGAACAAAAAAGTACGTAATTTCTCGTTTATCATCATTATAGTTTACGTTGACTATATTTGTCTTCATCAAAGCGTGGGTCGCGATCCAGAAACTTATGTTCAGAGGATCACTACATATTATTGATAATAATGATAATAATAACAATAAATAATATACATAAATATACATATGTGCATATATATGTGTATGTATATACATGCATATATGAATATACACACACATATAGAAATGTAGATGTACATATATTATATATGTATATATATATATATGTGTGTGTGTGTGTGTGTGTGTGTGTGTGTGTGTGTGTGTGTGTGTGTGTGTGTGTGTGTGTGTGTGTGTGTGTATATATATATATATATATATATATATATATATATATATATATATATATATATATATATATATATATATATATATATATATAATATATATATATATATATATATAATATATATATATATATATATATATATATATATATATATATATATATATATACATATATATATATATATATATATATATATATATATATATATATATATATATATATGTGAGTGTATGTATGTATGTATATGTATGTATGCATATACATAAATGCACATATATATACAAACACATATTAATATATGTGTGTATATATATACATACATATATATATAATAAATATGGATATATACACCTATATACATATATACAAATAAATATTTAGATATATATAAATATATACATATATATACAAAATATACACACACACACACACACACACACACACACACACACACACACACACATATATATATATATATATATATATATATATATATATATATATATATATATATATATATATATATATATATATATATATACTATATATACATTTATGCACACACATATATACATATACATATATGAACTAA